CTTGAATTACCAACTGATTTCTTGTGCTTTTACCAAGAAGAAAGGGTTCTTTAGATATCCTTCAGCTTTTGTTGCTGTATGAAGTGAGCTAACACAGGAGGTTGTGGTTTCATGCTAACCCATACTTTGTTTCTAGCATATCAGTGATATTTTAAAAATTCCCATTGCGGATGGTTTTCTGACCTGGTGCAACAGCACATTTTAATGGATACGATACAATTTATGTATTTATGTTAAACTTCATTTATTTTTTTGGGGGGGGGGTGAAAAAATCTGTACACTTTTTTTTCCTTCCATTTGACGGACTTTCCAAATACCAGTTTGTGCTTAGTTCTGTATAATCAAACATTCCCTACCGTTGCTTTACAGAAATGAGTCACAGCCTCTTCCTACCTGATAGATTCAAAAGAAGTGAGTTGTTATGCAGGGGATAGAGAACACTTAAAGTACAAGCATTTGTAAACTGAATGGAAAACTATCTCATTTTTTGCACTACTGTAGTACAACGTCCTTGTCCTGCCATCTAGTGATCGCAACACGAAGTGCAGCAGCTTCAATGCAGAGCAAACATGGGGTTTGCTCTTTTAAGTAACAGTGTGAAGGACTGCATTCTTGAGCTTAAAAAAAGGATTTTCCTGCATTTTGGATTTTCATCCGATGGATGTGCTCCAGTGCTCACAGAAGCAGCTGTTGTAGTTTTGTCTATTAATGTACTTGACATTGCAAATCTCATGAAAACATTTATCAGTGAGCTGTAATGTAATGTTTGACTAACCAGGAGCCTTTTGCCCTGCCAGGAACTACAGATAATGGCAATGCCAGCAGGGACAGATATCTGTCTCTGCTGGTTTTTCCTCTGTGTATGTAAATTCACTGTCCTATGAACTCAAGTTATGATTTGTGATCTCAAATGGAAATAGAATATTGAATCAAGCAATAAAATTCATATTTCCCCATTCTTTCCAAAGCAGGAATCAAAAAAGATATTGAAAAGCTTTACGAAGCAGTGCCACAGCTTGTGAATGTGTTTAAAATCAAGGAGAAAATTGGAGAAGGTAAACGTTTTATTTTAGCTACCTTAAACTTAGATTTCTTTTGGTATTTCTAACTTTAAAAGTATAAATCTAGGATGCCAGTATATGCAATTTAAACATTTACTTAAATTTACTTGATTTACTTCTTAGTTCTGTATATATGTTGCTGCCGGTATATATATGTTACATAGGGATATTTGCAAGGTATTTTCTTGACAATCTGGGGTATTAAAGCCTTTCAAAAAAACAGCATTCCAGTTTTGACAACTACAAAGTTTGAGGTAGACTTGAGTAAATGCCTTAGCGCTCCATTCTTTATGTCTTTTACATGAGGAATCTGTTCATATGCAGCTGAGTTTTGACATATTTAACTACTGTTCCCTAAGGTGGCCTTGTTTCTCCCAAAACCCTGTAGGCAGAAGTGGAGGAGACTGAAAGATTATAGCTGCTTTATTTAAACCACCAAAAACTTACTTTCTCTTTTAAAGACGTGGTATCAAATTTTAGGATGATTGTGTACACCTTGCCTTCAACAGACACTACTGCAGATACCTTCAATTAATGTTAGGCAGGACTGTAAGTAGATGCTTAGGGATTTCAGCACTTTTTGGAACTTCACCCACTTGATCTCTGAAATGCTTTATGACACTCCACAGTTTAAACAAAGATGTTGATGAGAAGCTGGATTGTTCTATGGCTGTTTCATGATGGAATACCTGTGATGGCAGGCTGCAGGGCTAAAAGTTCTTGTCTCAAATCCTCTCAAAAAAAACCCTCCCAAACCCAGCTCCGTTCACGGCAGCAATAACAATTTCAAGACCAAAACAGTCTCAAAAGGAATTCCGCCTGTCATGAAAAAAGACAGTATAATTAAAGTAAGTCTCTGGTTAAGGACTCTTGCTTTTGTACTCTTAAGTACTCTTGCTTTTGCTCTTGGGAGCAAACAGTGCTTTTAAGAAGTACCATTTGCAGTTTGCAGCATTATGGGAAAACAATTTAGGATTCCACTCTGGAGTCACTTTCATTTTAGCAGTTCTCACCACCAAAAATAATGTCTTAGGTCAACTTGGTAACCCTTGTTGCTATAATCAGTGTTACTGAATGTAGCGGACTCCAGGGGTTTTGTCACAGCAAGAAGCATTTAGAGGTTTTGCTTGCATTTTTGCATGTATGCATGCACTTACAGAATGTTGAACTGGCATGATACAAACACAGTACTTAATCAGCGTGATTTGTAGTGTTTATTCATGTGGAAGAATGCTTCAACTTGTGTATTCAGGTATCTCAGATCATTAGGATAAATTAACTTTCCAAGAGGTATGTTAGGATATACTTAAAAGGAAATGGGTGAGTCTGAATACTTCCTTTCTCAAGTGAGTCTGTCACATTCTGTCTATGCAGCAATGCTCTGGGCAAACAAATAGTAAAGTTATACATCATGTGAGAAGTCTTACTTTATAGGTAACAGAATTAAGAAAAATATAGCAATTTTAGAGGTGCTTTGAATAGTAAAGGCAGTGCTTTCCAGCTAGCATTATATAGCCCACTTACATTGTAAGGAGAGAAGTTAGATGTCAGATGAAAGTAAGCTACCCAAACAAGAACGCAAATCAAAGATAGGAAATTTACATTCAAAGAGCTCTGTGTCTCAGGCAAGTTAGACAGTGTTACATTTGCATTTTTACTGACATAAAAAACTTGTATACAAGATCACTGAATTCAGGAGTAGAAAAAAGGAGCTGCATTTTTCTCTTCTCGAGTTGGCTTTTGATGTAGCGTCAAATACACAGCAGCAGGATTGTGAACAGTTAGATCACTTCTGTAGAAATCTGAATTGACCTAATTAAAAATGCTGAAGACAGTGTTCTTCTCCTTTCCCTACAGGTACTTTTAGTTCTGTTTACTTGGCCACAGCACAACTACAAACAGGACATGAGGAAAAAATGGCTCTGAAACACTTGATTCCAACCAGCCACCCTCTGCGAATTGCTGCTGAACTTCAGTGCCTCACAGTAGCAGGGTACATAAACAAAGAAACAGTGGTTGTTTCAGCTGCTGAACATTGTCTCACTGTTCTTTAAGTTTTGGCATTTCACTTGCTTTTTTTTTTTTTTTTTATAAGCACAGAAATGTATATTCCTTTTATCAAGAGCAAATAAGAAATGAAATGTCTTACCTGTAATGGATGCCCTTTTTTGCTAGTCTCAGTTTGCAGATGTGTTTTCCATCTGAGAAGTTCTATGAGATATCTCTGATAACAAAAATTCCAGGTCTGAAATGCTTGGAAAAAAAAATGTCTTCATCAGAAAATGTGGTTTCAGGTATAAATAACTGTTACCAGAGTGTGCTGAATGACACCTTCTTAAAGGAGTTGATATCATAAAGGTTAGGCCCTATGTTTAATTACAGCTGTAACTACAAACCATGGCCCCAGAAATAATCTTTGGAGCCTTTACTGCAAATTGCAAACGGAACATAGCAATGAGTGGCACCAGGATGTCAACTGACTGTTGTCAAATATATAAACTAGATCATAAAAGAAAGCCTGGATGAAGTTTTTAAGAAATAAATGGAAATAAAGATCTAGCTTCTGGTCTTTATTCAGTGGCATTACTTATCTTCTAGGGGACAAGATAATGTTATGGGAGTTAAATACTGCTTTAGGAAGAATGATCATGTGGTTATTGTTATGCCATACCTGGAACATGAATCCTTCCTGGTGAGTCCCAGACTTCTTACATGTACTAAAACCTTTTAATTGAAAACAGTTGCATAATTACAGTATCCGTATAATCTTTCAGGACATTTTGAATTCTCTTTCCTTTGAAGAAGTGAGGGAATACATGTTTAATCTGTTCAAAGCGCTGAGGCGCATTCACCACTTTGGGATTGTTCACCGTGATGTCAAGCCCAGTAACTTCCTCTACAACAGGCAGCTAAAGCAGTAAGTCTGTCCAGATGCCCATGTTGTGATCTCAGGTGGGGATGTGTGCCTTGGCAGAACACAGTCAATTAAGCTTTTGGGGCTTTTTTCCCTTCCAGCTGCATAAAATGTGCTTAAGTAATAAAGCGAAAAAGTACTCATTTGTAAACCTTTTCTTTCTGTGTTTAGGGATTCAAGGTAATGATTCTATAATTCTATGTAGTAAAAGTTTGTAAGGGAGGTTTGATTATACTTTGCCAAACCGTAAGCTTAAAAAGTGGAGAAGTACCGATTGTTTATTTATTCAATCTGTCAAAATGAATTTGTAGTGGTGTTTTCCTCTTCCAGCATTTATTTGAGCCTTAATCTCTACTTCAGGTGTGGAGGCCATGGAATTAAGTTTGAGACCCAGAGACAGGGGTTTTGTCTCTGTACTGCTTGTAGCAGAAAATAATTCTTTTAAAGACAGATCTGAAGTGTGAGCGAATGTGGTCTTACCTGTTTGAAGACTGAAGTTAATTCCAGTAGTACTGGGTGAAGTCTGACAAAACTCTCAGCATTTTTAGCCTTGTCTCCGTCATTCCTGCATTTGTCCTCTGACCATGGGAGTCCTGCAGGGGTCAAGTCACTTGACTTGGCTGCAGGCTTGGAGCTGTAGAATTAGAAGAATCCCATAAAGGAGCTGCTGGAATATTTTTTTAACACCACTGGAGAAAGTGGAGCAGATTTTGAGGCAAAAAAACAGTGAAATAAAATGGGTATAGGGTGAAAACATTGAGGGGATAGCTAAGAAAGGGCAAGAGAAAGAGGAGGAAAATAAGGCTCTGATGCTGGCCGCAGTATAGATAAGCAATATATTGAGTAAAGCTTGAAAGAAAGATAGTAACCAAGTAATGAATAGTAAATTGAACTTACTGATGGGTACTTTGTGGTTTCTGATAGTAAGTTTGTGTCTTTCAGGTATGCCTTGGTTGATTTTGGCTTGGCACAAGGAACCCCTGATACAAAAATTGAACTTCTCAAAACTGCCCACTGTGAAGATCAGCAGGGAAGTTGTTCGCAAAATAATCCCACCATAGCCTTGGGAAATGGGGTTTCTGTCAGTGTCACAGCACCTACACAGATAGCTCAACAGTCAGCCTCAAAAGCAGCTGATAAAAGGTCCAGCTCCCTATCAAAAATACATATTAAACAAGGAAGAGGAGGAAAGGTTCTCAGACTTTTTCATTAATATTGTTGTATGCTTAATGTATTACTTCATCCATCAGGGGGAGGTGTAATACTAGAATAAAAGCTGTACGTGCGTGTCTTGTAGGTCCTAATGTGATGCACAGAGCTACAGCTTTCACATCAAAGTGACTGGTTTTGCTGGCATCATTCATTACCTGTTAGATATACAGTGCCAAAGGCTGTGTAAAAAACCCTAGCATGGGTTTCTATTTAGACAGCCTTAACTTTTCAGTGATGTGCTTTGGAATTCCTCTCCAAGCCAGTAATTATTCATCTGTGCTTGGTTTCTAAATTGCATAACAAATACAGCACAGATGACATTCAGATTGTCTTGGGGCGCTTCTGAGGTGTGATTGGTTTTGTAAGCATGTTTGCTGTTCTGTCTAGACCATGTTTTCCTCATTCCCAGTAAACTGATGTCTGAAAATGACTTACCATGCCGCTGTTCTTGTTTTATGTCACTTCACGCTTTGTTTTTCTGAACTGTCGCTGTGCAGCTGTGTTAGGTAGGATCCTCACTGTCCTTTCTGTTGGTATTGCAGGAGGATTCTGTGCACCATTCTGTCCAGCGCTCTGTCTTTGGAGAGAGGAATTTCAATGTCTATAGTTCCACATACCAAGAGAACTCGAGTACAAAAGTAAGAAGTATGACTTACCAGTAAGAGCAATCTGTTACATATCTGAAAAATTACAGAACTGGTTGTTCTGTAAGATTTAGATACTCCAGGATGCTGTGAAACTACAAGTTTTGGAGCAGATTATTAAGTTTGTCTTTGGTGAAAGGCTTGAATAATTTTTCCTGTCTGTTTCAGCCCCCTTTGAAATTCTTCAAGAGCTAGTTATGTCGCTGTCCCCCGAACTGATCTTGTGTGTGGAATCAGTCTTTTCTGCTACACGTGTACCTGTACAACTAAGATACACTTATCTTGTCAGACTTTTTTCTTTTATTTTGCAGTTGAAGCTGGAGATAAAACTTGTAGTAAATATTTTTCTGCACTTTTTCTTGTTAGTATTTAATATGACAGGGGGGAAACCCAATTAAATTAGAAGGTTTGGCCAACAGTGATCATCTTATTCTAAATTAGAGGTACTGCCTGTGTATTGCTGTGGCATTTCATGTACTTTGTTATTTTATTCTTATGTTGAGGCAAAAGAATTTGTGAAGCACTATATTAACCTGAGAGATACCTGTGTTGTAGCTTCAGAATATCTAATGTATATTGTTTTTCGGTAAACACTGGAAAATGTTTTCTGAAGGGAAATGGGAGGAAACCAGGATACGTAGAAAGCTCCAGTGTCTGTTTTATAGATGTTGTGATATTATTGAAAAGGTTTGCTGTTTTCTGTTCTAAAATTGCAGCTTCTTGCTCCTGAGCATCTCTTCAGTCTTAGTATTTTAGGAACTGGCCTATTTGTATGTAAAAGGGAAGTTTCTTAAATATGTCACCTTCTCTGAAATATCTACATTGCAGCTCATAAAACAATCCAAGATGATAGATGTTTCATCTAGGAAGTTAGTAACAAAGAAGAAGATTATTTCTACCAAAGCAGTGAGCAATGGGGCAGCCAGGAAAGCTGCCAGTGCCTGTCCCTCAAACCTGACCTGTGACTGTTACGCAACAGACAGAGTTTGCAGTGTTTGCCTTTCAAGGTAATTTGCTTTGATAACGTTGTAAAATTGCCTGTGTGCTGTCAAGCAGGGTCAGAAACGTGGATTTCTGGACAGCTGATTAAGTAGGTAAAAAAACGCATTTGATCTGTGCAACCCTTAAAACGCTGAGCATTCTCTTTTTAAACAAGAAACATTCATGGAGTTCATGGACTAATTGGTTCACTGTCTGCAGCAAGAAGGATTCACTGCTAATGATTTCGTTGTATTTAATTATCCACCTTCATGCGTTGTAGAAAATTGCTTGAATTAATTCCAACACTTAAAGCAGACAATACATCAATCTGTCATTAGTAGTTACCTGTTTAACAGGCCTGAATCAGCCAATGGTTTGGATTGTGGAAATCATGGAACTTAAAAGGGAAATCTGACTGTTTGTATTTGTTCATTTAAAAATAATGCTTTTTTTATAATTTTTAATAATAGGTTAGAGAATCTTAGTAACTCAGCTCAACTACATCCCTCTGCAGTTAGCTTTGGTTAGGATCTGCTACTGCCTTTTATCTACACATTAAGGCACACAGATTAAGGCAGAGAATTCTGCTTACTAGGCATAGCCATGAAATTGTGGGGTCCCCTCTTCCCAGACTGTCAAAATACGGTGTTATCAACTTCAAACTTGAGGAATTTGCCCAACTCAGAAGTGGCCATAGAAGGAGGTCATACAAGAAAGCTCTGGAAAGTATTTTGGGGTTTTTTAAATAACGACAATCTCACACCTTTTAGGTAATCTAATGAAAAGTGATCTCTTGTCAGCATTCAGAAATAGTGAACATTAGTTTGCTGTGGACTAATACAAAGTCCTGAGGCGAGACCAGCCTCATTCAAGAACCTAGTGCATATTTTTGCCTTTGGTTAATCAGTCTCAACTATAAGGTTTCCTATGGAAAGAAGCCTTTAGCAAAAACAGTGCCGCTGTTGAATGAAACTAAAAAAGGTCATTGTGAGTGAAGTACGCAATAAGTATTTCTGTGGCATTACCTTATGGTAGATAATAACTATAAAAATAATATAATAATAGAATAAGGCTTATAATTATCTTATACAACATAATTTTATACTAGGTAATTATAAGACACTTCAAACTCCTATACAACTGGGGTAAGACTGGGTTAGGCTGTTTGCATATCTTACACGAGTAATATTTAGCATTACTATAGTTAGAGCTATTTATCAACTTTTATATTCTGAACGTATTTATCTCTTATTAAAAGGTGTCAGCAAGTTGCTCCCAGGGCAGGAACACCAGGATTCAGAGCACCAGAAGTATTAACAAAGTGCCCCACTCAGACCACAGGTAATGCACCACAGACTGAAGCCAGTGCCATTTTCACCTTTTGATCGTTGTTACTTACGCATATTATGTTGTCTTTTTTATGGGAGGATTTTTGTTTACCTGTGAGATTCATTTTATCATCCCTTCTAACACTCATGAAGCATTTCCTGATTTTACTTAAAAGTATTATTCAGAGTAAGAACAAGTTAGGAATGTTTTTCCTGTGTTTGAAACCTGAATGTGTCGTTACTCACTTTAGGGGCAGTGCTGTGTGCAGGAGTTGAACACAGTGCATTTTAAAAGAAAACTAAGCTGTAATTTTTCTCAAGTTTCTTGGCTTACAGGCTTGTTTATTCAAATAAAATCATGAATAAATCTGAGGGAGAGTTCGTAACTTTAGACTTCTCTAGTCAGATTGTCACATGTAGTTTGCTGTCATAGCAGGCAGTTAATGGTATAATTACAAATGTGTTTTAGAAATCGTTGCTCAATACTTTTTATCAGATTTTTTCCTTTTTGCTGTTGCTTTAAATAGCTGGTCTGTGAAGGACAGCTTCTTTCCTTACTGCATTTTTAATTTCTCAGGGTTAAAAACTAGCAAGTGAAGTTTCAATAGTCTGGGAAAATACCAGTGCAGAGCAGAGGGACGCTTTAATGCATTAACTGATACAAGTAGGATGGGAGAGATTATGCCTACCTGGAGAATGGAGGACAAAGAAAAGCAAAGTTACTTGTTAAACATTTGGTGTATGACAGGAGCTTTCACTCCTGGGGAATAAATACAAACATTGTAAAAAATTTGATTTAAAATAAAATTAGCTACTTTTTTGCTGAATATCTTTTGACAAAATTGTCAATTTGCAGTACTTAAAATGTGTTAAGTCTCTTCTGAGTGTGCATACAATGTCTTTGATCAGCTTATCCCCAAATAGCATAATGTTGTTTGAAACAACATCTGTGCTGGGGGCATGACTGGGGTTTCGAGAGGCACGGCAGGCTGTTTGGAGTCTGTATGCCTGTGCTGTAACAGCCAGCTTTATGGGCCAGAAGACATCCAGAAATCCAGGACAAGTTTAGACGATCTCTGAGCCTGTCTAGACAGAATTTAGGCAGAAAGAAGACATACCTAGGAAATCTTGGACGCATGCTGGTGCTAAATACGCTTTCAGACCACTTTCTATTCTCTAACGGAGAGCAGGATTACAAAGAATATGGATAAATCTGGAAAGCCTTGGGTGTGGCACAAACAGCCCTGAAAGTACTGACTCACTGGTCCCAAGCTCTTGTATGTCAACAAAGGCCTTCATTAAAGCTGCGTAGACTAATACTAATATTTATGAGATGATGTTGTATTTGAACTAACAAGTCTTGTCCACTTCCATCTGGGGCTCCTGCAGTCACCTCCTTGTATTTTTGCCAGTCTTACTACTAGTTTTGGTCTCTGTGCTGAGACCAAGTTACCAGATGGATCCAGCTGACTCTATCCAGAGCTACTTTAGTGAGTCTGATCCAGGCTTACAGTGCAGGGAATACAACCTAAACCCCAAAACTGACGTTATACGGCACCAGTGACACTTTAACTCGGCTTTTCCCTCTGTTCCCCCTTCCTCAGTCTGCCCACTGGTTGTCACTAGACCAAAGCATAGAGTCATGACTTTGATGTCATTGCACAGGATCTTGCAGTGTGCTCATGATCCCAGCTCTACCAGAACTGTAGGGCCAGGATTTACCAGCCATTCAGATATATAATGGCTATTAATTTCAGCATGAGTAATTAAGCTTCTTTAAAGATCCTGACCTACCACACAGTTGGGGTGATGTACACCACCTCAGACAGAGAGTATGGTCTTTTCAACAGTGATACAGTAATAGTATAATGTGTTTTTTTTTTTACAGGAACTAAGAAGATACAACTTTTTTCCACCGTAAATTATGCCAAATTATTAACTTGGGGGTTATTTTTTCCTTGAAAGACTTAGAATCTGATTTTGCAACCGAAGTCAGCCTAATACTCTTTTTCCCCCCTAAGTCTTGTGCTAATAGTATTTCTAACTAAAGCATTCAAATTAGTTACTGCCTATTTTACTAGTTAGAGGAGAATAACTATGACTTTATTTCTCAATTGTTATTTTTTTCTCTTCAGAGTTTGAGAACCTTTCAAACTCTCTCCTGCACTTTCCTTGCCATCTCACAAACCGTGCACCTCAGTGAGCCAAAAACTTATGGCAGACAGGTATTCTCATAACTTTCAGTATTAAAGTTTCCATCATGCTTTGGCGTCCATCCCCAGAGCACTCTCTGTACTCTTCATAACACAATGAAAGTGATGAATAACTTCTACTATTACAGTTCTTAAAGTGGCTATCTTGTCAAATGATTTCATATTCAAGAGGAACAAAGTTCATAGCAAGATAAATTTCTCTAGTACTGCCTAACTGTGGCAGTCTCAGCACCAGAAAAAGTCAGATTTGCATTCATTTGTGGGTTAATTTTTATTTATGATCCTTGGATAAGGTTTTCTTCATATCAAAACTAGTCATTTTTTTGCCCCCTCTCATCACCATGGGTAAAACAACCTCAAACATTGCTTTGGCACATTATGAATTTAGCAAGTTAATGGAATTACTCACAT